CTCTCTCTCTCTCTTTGTCTCCGCTTTCCCTCTCTCTCTCTGTCCTCTTTCTCTTTCTCTCTCTCTCTCTCTCACACACACACACACACACACACACACACACACACACACACAATCAATCAAATCAATCAAATCAATCAATCAATCAATCAAACTAATCGATAGTATCTTGATTGGTTTGATTGATTGATTGATTGATTTGATTGATTCGATTAATTTGATTGATTGATTGATTGATTGATTGATTGATTGATTGATTGATTGATTGATTGACTCTCTCTCTCACACATACACACACACCAACACACACACACACACACACGAACACACCAACACACACCAACACACACACACCCACACACACACACACACCAACACACACCAACACACACACACACACACACACACACAAGAGGACACACACACACACACCCACCAACACACACACACACACACACATACACACACACACACACACAAGAGGACACAAACACACACCAACTTCACCCCGAACCCTTTTTTCTCTATTTGTTTTCGATTTTTGCATCTTCGTTTTTTTTTAACACCCAATTCCCCGACACAAACTCGAAAAACATTTCGCAAAAGCGCAAAAAGTACAGGACAACTCAGCGACCATGTCCCTCATGATAAAAAATGACAAAAAAAAATTCCTGCGTTTTTTTTTTTTTTTTCTTTAATTTGTTCAAATCGATTTTCATTTTATTTTATTTTTTTAAACCTTAAACGAAGTCGGATTTCAAAATCAAAAATATAGGATTGTAGGTTTTTCCAAGCCCTACAACCCTATATATATATATTTGTGACGATATATATATATATTTTTTTGTCCTCGTTCGGCCCAAACGGCCGAACGCCTTCCGAAGGGGTCCCGTACGTTCAGGCGTTCGGGTTCGGGCGTTCGGCCCGTCCCGAACGCCGGCACCCATGTATATATATATATATATATATATATACGTATTTTTAGGGGTATAGAAAAAATATTAAAAAAACATTCCGCGGATTGGCCGCCGCCTAGGCCGACTTTTTTGGCCGCGGCGGTCGAATAGGCCACGGGTGTCACGTTGAAGGCTGGGTCCAACCAATCATCGGTAGATAAACTATTTATCCAATTTATGCTTCGTGAATGTACGGTAGCGCTTCATGAGCGGGGTGTTTCCCCCGTCGTAACTTTTCATAACTGACACAGTTTGACACTGCTTTCAATGCGTGTCTCTCTAATTGTCTTGTGCTATCACGTTTGCACATGCACATTGGCTATATTCCTGGTTAGATACGGCTCTCTGACATCACCCTCTACTTACCAGTCAGTGGTAAGTTCCAGTACCTTCTAGCCGTAAATGGTAAATAATGTGCACAAGACGGACAACGAGAGAAAACACACACCAAAGTCGTACACTGTACCTCTCGGGTTTGTGGCTTCTAAAATGATGAATCGAATACAAAAAACAACGTGAGGGCAAAACGACAGCCAAAACAGCATAAGCTTCCTAAGAGTATAGGATGGACACGCCACTGCAATTTACAACTAGACAGCACAATCACAAATTCACAATGGTGACCTCTATTATCGCTATCAGCTATGTATCCCCTCGGCCATAGTTATGTATCCCTTCGGCTATAGCTATGTATCCCCTCGGCCATAGCTATGGCTATGTATCCCTTCGGCCATAGCTATGTATCCTCTCGACCAGCGACCGTGCGTATCAACAATAATCAACTCGAAAAGAACAGAGCAGCAGCTTGAAGGTGATAATGTGGCCCCATATGAATGACGTGGGACTTGCTAGTAACCTTTGTCGTGGTGACACTTTGTCATGGTGCCATGTGGCAGGCATTTTCAGTCCATCCTCTCTATTGTATTAATCCCGTAATAATCCGCTTCCACGTTATGCACTGAGTAATGTAGACCAAAGCCTGAGGCCAGTCTGACGGTCCACGAAAGTGCTAAGGCCTACAAGATCTCCCAGCCTGCAGCGGTGAGAGCTGCTAGTGCTATCGGGAAAGGATAAATTGAAGGTACGGCCCATCAGAAAGCCTACTGATTGGTTAGTCATGGCTCACGTCTTCCGATTATTCGTTGCAACCGACCTGGTAGTACGCACAAATAACAGGGCCTTCCAGAGAACGAGTTTGGTGCAAATACAGAGCCAGGTTCTTGATCCGGTAGAAAGAGGCTAAGGGGATATTATACTATACATCATTGAAAGTCTAAATTTCTCTAAAATGCCCTGGGTGGTGAATGCTTTGTACACAACCAGAAAACTTGGGGCGTGATAAACCCAATAGGTTTTCGGGGGGGCTGTATCTAGTACCCCCATTCACCGTTCACGTTCAAAGACCCCATTCAACGTTCACATTCAAGTGATAAACCCAAATGAACGGCCGGCCACGTTTAAGTGACCGGTGCCGGTCACGTTCACGGGTCCGACACTGAGTATCTACGATTATATCATCATGTAACACTCTCTTGTATTTCATTAGGGTCAACAAGATCCCTCTGTGGGCTTTGGACGTCATCAGTTTCCCTGTCAGGTCCATCCGCCCTATCCAAGGAAGGACCGTCAGAATTTCTTCGTGGTCTCCTAACGAAATCTTGCCTCGGCGAGCCGGTAAGAGAAGCATCCGCCTCCTGGTTGCCTGTGCCATTTTCCACGACGATGGAAGGGCCCTGCTCTGGACAAGGATTCGATCGAATCACGTTCCAAAGCAGCTGAATGGGTGTGCTGTCGCCCCCCTGCCCATCCGTGCCCGTGTCCAGCTGTGGATAATTCCTCCTTAGCCAATCACACAACTCATTTCGAGACGACTGCACCGTGGCCTTGGATGGAAACAAAGCATCCTCCTCAAGTTCCTGCTCTGTGGGATCACTCATCTCAAGGACGAGAGGAGCGGTTGTCGTCAACACCTCGATCAGCGTCTCTCTAATCTCTTCGTTGCAGCTTACCTCCAGCTGAGAGAGCTTCAAGCGCACGTCCAGCGTGGCACATGGCTTGATGAGCAGTTTCACCATAGGCGGGAAGAAGAGCGTTAGCAGCCTAGGATCGAGATCGTTCAAGCAAGTCTTGAGCACGCGATCGATCACACGAGTTGCATTCCTGGTCCCCAGGAGAGAGTTCAGACTCCATTCAAACGTCTCCATGAGCGTCGGCTCCAAGTCCTCGAACATGCCGAACGCTGGGCGCAAGCCGGATTGCCCAACGACTCCCAGAAGAGAAGTATGAACTGAGCTTTGAGTGTTGACTTAGTGTCTGAGAGGTATCGTCTGATCCTAGACCAGTAACTCCCACATGAGGCCCCCACCCTGCTGACTTCACTTAGCTTTGTTCGATCCCAGAGAATCAAGGTTAAGCTCTTGAAAAGAGAGAGGAAAAATGGACGACTTTGCCCGGGGTCGTCCGGTAGAATCCTTCGTATTGGTTCATGACGTGGTTTGTCGTCGACAATGATTAACCGAGCCACGCGCCCTGTAGCCCGTGAATGGAAAACCGGTTTTTGAGTCGATCGTTGTGCTGAGTTCAGTTTGCACAACTCGTATCCATCGCTGTCAAATTCGGGCTTCACGCGGTGAGCTCTTCGAGTTTTTGTTTGTGTGGATCTCCGCCGAGCACTGCGAGCAGTCGTTCTTCGCCGAAGTCGTGATGGAGGTTCAGACATGCCACAACTCTCCGCGTCCATGTCAGCACCTGCACGGCAGGCTTCGCGCCACAGTACGTCAAAATCGCTGACAGCGTGACCAGCCGATCGCGGTTCTGGCTGAGAGTGTGGTGGAGGTTCAGACATGTCACAGCTCTCCGGGTCCCAGTCACCACCTGCACGGCAGGCTTCGCGCCATAGTACCCTAAAATTGGGGACAGCGTGACCAGTTGGGCGCAGTTCTGGCAAAACTCGCGATGGAAGTTCGGACATCACACAGCTCTCTGAGTCCCAGTCAGCACCTGCACGCTGGCTTCTCGCCACACTACGCGATAATCGCAGAGAGCGTGACGAGTCGGTCTCCGTCCTCCGACTGTCGGATGGGGTCGTTGCCAATCTACAATATTGCTCGTCTTCTGCCCTTCGCATGAAACGGTCGGCGAATATTTGACAAGTCGGTCCGAGTCGCTGTCCTCCAACCGACTGGCCGTATGCATTTCTCTTGGGCCCCTTGTCTTCAACTCCCTTGAGTCCAAGCAAGTCTGCTACTCCCCTGACCTTAGCCAATTCCGCCAGCAGTCCTGCAGCTGATGTTGAACACAGGTGTGCATAATCATCCGGGCCAATGGTCCTGTTGCTGACCTGGGCTCTTGCCAAGTAACGTAGTATTACCCGATTGAAATCCTCGATCTTCACGAAGATACGAAGAGCCTGCGTAATGCTCAAATGACTGTTGAACATCAATCTGAGACAAGCGAGACCTCCTGGCGATTCTGCAATCCGCTGCTCGATGACATGTTTTCTCTTTTCTCGGGCATCTTGGAACAGATCGCGCAGACATTCAATAGTCTCGCTGGCGAACCAGTCCAGCTCCTTAGTGCCTAGAGCCTGCCGCCAGTAGATAAGGCAGGCTGTTAGAATCTCCGCGATTGCAGGGTAGGTGCGTCGAATCTTCTGAGAGATGATAATCTTGGCCAAGTGGAGTTGAGAGAGGAAAGAAAACTCTGGCTCATGTAGTGCGAAATTCACGAGGTCCTGCAGACTGCGTAAGATCGTTTTCCTGTGATTGGCATGAATGGTATTCAACGGACAAGGCAAGTCCTCCATCCTCTTGTCAAGACGATGCCAGTAGATCATCCTGCGCGACCATATCAAGGAGAGAGTCCGTATGAAGTCGGCGGAGATACTCAGCGAGACGTTCTTTTGCGCACATCGGAGTAAAGTTTCCACTGTGCTCGGTTTAGATAAGAAGGATTTCATCTTTTTCACCCAGACGTCGTTGGCACTTCGCAAATCAGGTACGGCGGTGAAGAGGAGCCATCCTACCGGACATGCTGTTGTGAACACATAACATAGGTTGGACGCCGATGCAGGCGGATGATCTTGGCGTCGTTTAGCTTCAGAACGGTGCACTATTGCATTAATATCGCTGGCAGCCTGACTCAAGGAACAAATGGCAGATGCAGCGGCCTCTTGGACTCGCAGGATGCTGTTGTCCTTCATATCTATGGTCGTCGAAGCATATGGTCTCAGACGACGTCGTAGTTCGTATAGCAAGTGCTTCGTGCAGTACACAAAATCATCATCGCTTAGCAGGTTAAGAATATAATGTGTGTCTCTACCGCTCCAATAGGGTTGTCATGGGAGTATCGAAAGACCGGCAGCAAATCCGGCGAGGATCCGAGCGGCCAGTTCCGCATCCTTTGAATTCGCCCGGGAGTAAATCAACACTCGGAGCATCGCGGGATAGCCGCCGGCTTAGGCAATATCTCGTCCAGCATCTACGTCATGCCTACAACGGCTTGTCTGCGGTATGTCCTGCGTGTAACAACAATTTCGGCACAGCTTGCATGCCCTAGACAGATGAAATAAGGATTCCAAAGCCGTCGTTAACTTCTTACCCTTCGTAATCTCTCCTGCCACTAGGCCTTCACCTACAAGACGATGCTCATCTCTCAAAGTGGGAAGTTGGCTTTGAACCATGCCCACCAACTCCTTCACACTATAAAACCAGTATCCTGACAGACCGCATTTTTCTTTGTTAGCGTGCTCCTCTTCTACACCGAACTCCAAGTGACGATGCAAATGGACATACCATGTCACCCTTGCCTCCATCTCCCTCTGGACCCGATCGAGCCTCTCCAAAAACAGACCTTCGCTGTCCCACTGATGTTGTAAACCCGCTAGGACTTTGTGTTGCGGAGGCCCAACAGGGACAGATTGGCAACGGAACAAGCGCTCTGCGAGTGCTTTACATCGCCCAAATATGTTATAGCCGAGAGAAAGGAACACGAGAGAAAGAACAAAGATGGAATGTACAAGCACGCAATAGAAAATTACTATCAGAAATTCCTTCAGACGCCATAGACCCCACTCAACAGCGTAGCCCCTGTGACGTCTCAGCCTATAACAGATTTATAGATTTGAAATGCCAACACTATCTCACCGACCATAGCTAGCAACCGGATGGCTGCAATCGTATGCACGAAGGCGATTGTCGAGTCAAATTTACCGCCCAAGACATGGAACGTCGCCAGTTTGAATCTTGCCGACTTGCCCTAGGCGGTTGCGACCTGAACACACGACATGCCACGGAAGCAAACCCTATAGATGAACCCTCGCAGAACTTTCGACGAACCTTCTATAATTATCAGCCCCACGCAGCTCCAGAGAAAAACAGCCGTCATAAACTGCCCGAAGCCACCAACCGCCATTGTCACGACAATCAGTAATAGATAACCCATACTATTCTCCACGTACTCAATGGAGCTGTATATTTTCACCTGCTTCTTCACGCTGGGAGGGACAGTGTACACCATATTGCCCACACTTCACTCTCTCTCTCTCTCTCTCTCTCTCTCTCTCTCTCTCTCTCTCTCTCTCTCTCTCTCTCTCTCTGGGTCGCTCGCTCGTGTCCCACCCTCAGGGCGTACTCAGGCTCGTTCTTTGCGTAATCGCGAACCAGAACTTACAAGCACCGAAAAACAGAACCTGATTATCACTCTCTTCTGACTTGCAGACGCTGGAAGGTTCCAAATGGCATCGTATAAAAGATAGCTAGGTATGGGGCAACAGGAATAGATATCGTATTACAATCCTGGTTCTATCGCTGGGGTACCAACCATGATAGACAGAATAACTGCGTACACGCGCCATACTCGCACGTCTAATCGAAACTAACACACTGTCACGCTTCACCGTACTAACCGGATCATCCTCACATAAGACCTTTATTTTCCCTCAAGTCAATCCTTATCCACATCACTCATTACCCCGATATAAACTCGACCTGACTCTATCGAATGCTTTTGACCTATACGACTCGCACATCTCACCGACAAATCGGTCGTTATATTAACCTCTTTACTCGAGAGAAATGGATGGACATTCCTTGCATCGAGGAAAGAATCATATCACCAAAGAGGAAACCATTCAAAACATCCATGATACAATTGATCGCAAAGTCTCTTGGCTTAATTTCACGGAAATGCAGACTGCGAACTGCAGAATCGCTCGCCACTTTTGACATTTCAAGCAACAGATGAATACGAGCTCGTGTCCCTCGAAACTTCAAAGAAAAACTTTGAGAACCAAATATAGCAAACTCTCCGACATCTGAATGGAAGGAAACGCAGAACAAACGCAGAGGAAAGGAGAGGAAAGCAGAGGAAACGCAGAGCGCAGGTACCAAGTAAAAGTCTCGGTCACGTGCTTCTTCTTCTACTGGCTATCGACATAGCAGATTGATCGTATGAGCTAAACTGTTAGCGTTCCCACCTCGCTTACACTGCTCACAGTACTATCTTTCTTCTTTGCCATGGCATGCCTTCTTCACTTAGTCTTTTATATATATCGCCGTTTGTTCACTGTGGACCGCAACGCTCTTTCGGCAGCATCGACGTGAGATCCTCCTCGAGACAAGACGCCATCTACGAGTGTAGAAGTGGCACTAGATTTGAGATGGGGCGGAGGACGCTGGAGGGTAAGGAGACTTAGCACCCTTCCCACCCAGCTTTAGGGGCATGTTAGAGGAGTACAGAGTACTGCCTACTCATGGTTAGGGAAGCAGAAGGGAAGGGCAAGAGGTTTCCCGCGAGTGCTTCGGGAAGCAGGAGCGTGCGAATGACCACCCGCACATACTTCAAAGCAGGAGAGGAGTGAGGGAGGCTTCCCAGCGGGCGAGGAGAAAGCTCCGCGCATTTCTCGGACAGCAGGAAGCAAAGAGAGAGGCTTGTCATAATGCCAGTGCAAATGGGAGTAAGCCTATATCCGCTTTAGCGTAACACCAGGGGGGATGAATGGGGCTCAAAGTGGGGGAGGGTTGCACACCAGTTTCCGACAAGCAGAGTAGAATCGGGGCCTCGACCCACATGCCAGCGAATAGTATAGTTTACTAGTTCGTGTGACGGTGTGGGACTGTTAGGAACTGTCTATTGTATTTTAAACGTACGGTGGGATTATGCATCCTACCATTTAGGGCAGGGAGCCGTAAGGCTCCGTTTTTGTCATTGGTTTCTGGTTGCTTTAGGGGTGTCGTGTGGAATGGAGGGAGAGGCAATACGGTGTAGTATACTAACCGTTTCTTTTTGGCGTAGAATACTATAATTTTTTTTTTCCGCCTCACTCCGCTGTTTTGTGGACATGCACAAAGGACAAATATCATGGTAAGTCTCATGGCCTAGCTGTACTACTCTCCAAATATGCAAAATGAGACTAAATCCACCGCCAGAACATGGAAAGATACATTGGTATTTTTTTTATTTTTTTTTTACGGTAAGCTATATTCTTCTCTCATCTATCTCAGGGTTTTTTTTTTTTTTTTTAATATCTCACTTTTCTTGGTAGTACGCATCTATCTCATCCCCTCACTATTGGCATTTTTTTGTCTTTTGCACATGTGGAGAGCATTGCAGCCAGGCTCCAAGGGTGTGTTTTTTTTTTTTTTTTTTTTCCACTAGTACCCCCGAGCCGGTTTTTTCTTACCCTGAATTTCACTGCGCCGAACCTGGGCCCCACTCCATTTTTTATTTTTTTTCTTTAAAAGAATCATTACATTTTAAGCCATCGATCATAACCGAGGTCGGGGACCTCACAATTCAACCCGGAGTTATCCTGGCAGCATCAGCCAGTTTAGCTTATTGTCTCAGCCAGTCAAGGGACTGAATCTTCCAAACAATGCCAATCAGGTAACGTAATTCCCACCTGAATCAATTCGTTGGTCTTAACCAAGGTTCCTATCACAGCTTCTGCTGCGTAGCCTCAATGGGCCCTGGTGCTACCCTACTCTAGCCTACCCTAGCCTACTTAATCTCTACCTCACTACTAAGTTACCTATTCTACCTCTCTGAACTCTAATACACAGACCTATTCTTCCTGGTCTGACCCCGGCCTTCATCGACCGAGAGGAATCCTGTTCCTTCTACTACCCTGGACACTCTCCTCCCTTCCCTACCCTTTCCGGTCTCCTGTGGCCGCCGACTGGAACCGAGTGTCCTGGTTCTTAAGCCTGGTCCCTCTACTGCTACTACTACCTCTACCTCGCCCCTTCCTGTTCTTATTCGAATCACCCCCCCAGCCAAGGAGAGAAGACCAGGCCACGAGATCGATGTACCCCTACGAGCTGGTTTCCCACCGCCCAAGTCTTCAAGAACCACTAGAGAGAGGCATGACAAGCTTTGCCCTTTCTGGCTTTCCTTCTCCAGTCCACCTCTGCCGCTTGTCGCAGCCCTTTCTTCACTTCAACCTTAATCTCTTTATCTGAGTACGGTCTTCCTTCGAATCTTGAGTGGTTTTGGTCTGCCTAGATTACAAAGCAGATCACTGATCTTGCCACTTGAGCAATGTATGGCCATCCTCTCCGGCCTGTGGATTCCTCTGAGACGAAACCCAGCAGGATCCACTTCCTGTCCTATTCGATCCCTCCGCCTCCCATTAAATGCCAATGGGTCTCCCACCAACGCCAAATGCATTTCGAAGCTGGGCAGTCCCACCACAGGTGTCGTGTTGATTCGGCGGCCATTTGCAGCGGGTACAGCCTAAGCTAACTTCCACTCCCCTTCCGCATAACCAGACAGCCGACGGGGTAACCAACAGCGATAGCATCCACATGATGCCTGCATGTTTCACGTTCGACAGTTGTAGCAATATCTTCCACAACTTTGTAAAATCTTTTGTTGCTCCCTGCAGGTCCTCGGAGAGTACTGCCCCCCATCTCGCGATTGTCACAGAAGCCGGTGTTCTCCGGATTTTCACTGCTAAATTGTACGATTCCCTCGGAGTATAGGTTGCTTAGTTGAGTCCTTGGGGATGTGCACCTGAGATCTTGCCCTCTGGCCAGTTCCATGCTACCGAGTCGATGGGTAGGGAGCTTAAGGAGGCTTGCCTGACCCACTCTGTCTCAGTTACATGCCCACGGCCATCTCGCTTCTGGACCACTCAGATCTGTGGTGGGTTGTCCCAGGATTGGACAGTCCGCTCCTGTCCTTCTCGCAGTCTACCATTGATGGTGGTCACCTCCCACTCTTGCACCTCCCTGAAACCGCTCTCTGCCAGGCCTCGTAGCTTCCACACAGTAGGGGGCATTGAGGGTTTTGTTGGAGCATACCAGGTGCCCACTGGGTCTAGCCCCATCGGGCCCAGCAGATCTAGCCACCCTTTTGGGATTGCTCGTCTGAGATTATCCAGGTTCGTTTCCACATTCCAGAGCCCTCCCAACTTCGCAGATAATTCTCCTCTTGGTCTCCACGCCCCCAGGATGGAATCCCAGGGGACCGCTACTGTCACTACTCCGCGCTGGACCCACATTTTACCAAGGGCACCCAGGGCCGTGCTCGCAAGGAGCTCGTTCCCTTCTGAGTCTTTAATCAGAGAATTTTCAAATATGCATTGCCTCAGCACCTGCTCCTTCGTACTCGGGGGGGTTCTTCCTTCTGGGGGGTGCTCCACCCAGGCCCTGCATAACCGCTTCCCAAAACTCAGACTTAAACTTGCGCTTTGTAACGGATCTGATAAGGAAACAGGTCCACACATCTCCGGTTCTGCTTAGGTGCCATTCGTTCATCAGCAGCCTCTCTCCTAGCAATATCCAATCTTCTCTATGCTCTGCCATAGCTACCTTTTCCAGCTAAGATCTCAACTGCGCTTGATTCTTGCAATGGGGGTCGGTTAGGACCAAGCCACCCTTGTCCTTCTCCTGTGTAACCAAGTCCCATGCTACTTTCACCAGAAAACCTTCCTCACTCTGTGCTCGCGGTTTCCAGAGGAACCTCGTGACCAATCTTCTGATCTCTGCCAGCACTGGCCCAACTATTTCCCTCACCAATCCCACAAACCACAGCAAGGAAAACAATGCCATATTTATTTCCAATGCCCGCTTGAACAACGATAGGTGCCAGGCCAATCCCTAGATCCTGAGTTTTGCCGTGACCCTATGCTGTAGTATGAGTCCTTGCACTAAACTCATCAGCTGTAGGCTAATGTAGACCCGGAGGAAACGTTCTCCTTCCGCTGAGTCCACTCTGTGCATCCCCCACTCTACTGCCAGCGCAAAGTCTTCGGGGAGCATGTACGAAGATTTATCCCAGTTCACTTGCGCTTTGAACAACATCGAGTAGTCCTGTAGCACATCCTTGATCGCCACCAGTGACCCCTGCGTGTTCTCTGACACCAGAAACAGATCGTCTGCAAGTGCTTTCGCCCGGCATTCCCTCCCTTCCCCTAGTGGAATTCCTCTTATCGCTGGGTGTTTCCGGATGCAATTAAGTGGAATTTCCAGCTGCAGCATGAACAGGAGTGGGGCCAGCAGGCACCCCTGTCGCAGAGATCTAGAGAGTTGAAATGGACTGGAGAGGTGACCGTTGACCTGTACTGTCCAAGAGGCGCTTGTGAACATCGCAATCACCCACCTGCAGAAGTTGTCTCCGAACCCCATCTTCCTCAACGTTGTCAGCACGAACGACCAGCCAACACGGTCATACGCTTTCTCTAGATCTAGTAGGAGTACCGTCATGTCTCTGTTTTCTGAGAGGATGACTTCCACCGATTCAATTGCTGTCAAAATATTCAGGAAGATTGAACGGCCCTGGACAAACGCCCTTTGATCTCCCTCCACTAGTCTTGGCAGGATCTTATCCAGACGCAATGCCATCGTCTTTGCCAATATCTTATAGTCCACGTTCACAAGGGAGATCGGTCGGTAGTTCCTGACATTTGCCTTATCTCCCTTTTCGAACATCAGTGAAATGACTCCCTGTGTCATGGCTTCCCCCAACTTATCCCCCGTTAAGACCTTGTTATAGACTTCTACCAGGGTCGGGCCCATTGACTCCCAGCAACATAAAAAAAACTCAACAGTTAGGCCATTCCTCCCTGGAACTTTTCCAGCAGCCATCACCTTGAGTGTCTGTATTAACTCTTCCATCGTCACAGGTCTAGCTAGGCTTTGTCTTTCTTGCGGCGTCAAGAGGACCTCTGTTTGCTGTCACAGGTCCTTTTCAACTGACAGGTCCGCGTCCAGCATGTCGCCCCTTCCGGAGGTCAGGATATCTGAAAGATACAACCTTGCATATTCTAGCATTTCCTACTGCTCCGAGGCAGCAGCGGCCCCTACATCAAACGGGTGGTTTGGCTCGACCACCTGATGATGTGTGGCGCTTGGCATGAGTCTGCGGAACGTCTCTTTTGTTAACCTGTCGTATACCATGACTCCTTTTGTCTTCAGTGTCTCTTCCCATAGCGCTTGCTTGTCTGCTTGCATCTTCTCCCAATCTATCAATCTGCGTGCCCTGTCTGCCGCCCCCGTGTGCCTTGAGATCGGGTGTTGCTCCATACGCCATTCCGCCTCTTCTACTGCATGCCTGCACCGGTCCTCTTCTTTATTTCTGTCCTTGGCTAGTATGCGAGAAGCCACACTCATCATGCCCGAGACTGTTGCCAGCCCCCTATCCAGCCACTCCGCAACAGTCGGGAAGTAGTCCTTTGATGTTTCCCAGGCCTCCATATGATCCCGAACCCAGTTTTTCATACCAGGTTCCTCCAAGTTTTGAGAATTTAACTTAAAAAAACCCTTCCCTCTTTCCCCTGGCGTGTTTACCACCAGGTCTGCAACCACCGCCTTGTGGTCTGAGCATGGCTGTGTTTGGTGCTTCACCGCTGTCACCCACTGCTGCAGTGAGCTGGAGACTAGAAAATAGTATAACCGTCGCCTTGTTACTTCTTATCCTTCCCTCCTGGCATTCGCGAACCAAGTGTAGCCGAGGGAGTCTGGATTCAGGGACTTGAAAGGGTCCTCCAACTCCCGAGCCTGCATTAGTTCTTGTAATGCCTTTGCATCTCTCCTTCCCGCGGTCCTTGACCCTTCTCGCATAGCTTCGTCTAGTGTTACATTCCAGTCCCCTGTCAGAATCACTTGATTCGCTCGTGGGATCTTCCAGGCTAAGCTCTGTAGAAATGCCACCCTCTATTGCAGTTCAGATGGTGCGTAGATTGTCATTAGCAGTCAGTCCTCCTGTCCTACCCGCAGTCTGATCCATGCCCACCTGCCCCATAGATCCGCTTCTAAGTCGATCACCTGTGGCTCTAGCTCCTTTCTTAGTACAATTCCTACACCTCCCCTTGTTCCTTGGGCCGGAGACCATACCTACGGGCTATGTATCCCCTGCGGTCATGACCGCGGGGTCAATCTCGGCCAGCGGTCGGGATCCCGACCGCTGAGGTCGGCCCTGAGGTTAATGCGGCCAAGAATTTCAAACATTTAAAAAAAAAAAATAATGGACCAAAAAAAAAAAAATGTTGGGTTGTACGGTTTGAAGAGACCTACAACGCGGTGATTTTTGTTTTTTTTTTTACAAGTGTTTTCTTATTTTCAAAAAATAGAAAACAAAAAATCACGTATTTCAATTAAAAAAAACGTAATAAAAAAAGGAAATTTTAATTTTTCGTGTGTGTGTGTGTGTGTGTGCTTGATTGGTGGGGAAAGGGGACCCCTTCCCCACCAATCAATCAATAAATCAATCAATCAAAAAAAAACAAAAAAAAGGGAAAAAAAAAAAAATCCGTGTGTGTGTGTGTGTGCTTGTGTGTGGGCGCGTGTTTGTGTGTGTGTGTGTGTGTGTGTGTGTGTGTGTGTG